TCAGAGAGTCTACCCAACAGGATCACCCAAGCAAGGTAGGTCAGCGCCCGCGGACACATCCTACCGTCCTTCCCCTAGCTTAGCCAAGGCTAGGCGGAACTCAGACTAGCCGGAGAGTCTCTGTGTGTGTGTTTATGTGTTTGTGTGTGTTGTGTGTCTGTCTGACTGTGTGTTTGTGTCTGTATGTGTGCGTGCCTTTTTTTTTCTTTTTTAATTTGTTTTTTATGGTTTTGATTTTTTTTAAAATACACAAAGTTAAAAAAAAAAAACGTTGTTGTACATCTTTGAAAGATCTACAACCCTATATATATATATATATATACAGGGTTAGGCCCCTGGGCTGGCCCCCGAACGTTCGGGCGTTCGGGGTCCCGTTCGGGGGCCGAACATCTCCAGGTTCGGCCCCCGCAAAAAACGTTTTTGGGGTGTAAAAATAAGTTTTATGTTTTTAATTGTTTTTTGTGATTTCTCTATGATGTAACCTACACGCCTATAAATTTTGAAGCCATTCTGCTGAGCCAAGAAAACATTAAAAATCGTCAAAGATGGGGGTGTTTTGACATGCTTGTCCACTCACTATTTTGTTTTTTTTTCACTTTTAACTTTTTGTTTTCACTTTATTTCGGGGCCTAAAAAACATTATTATTTTTTGAAAGTTTTTTAATGAGTTATTGATTATGTAAACTACATATCTGTAAATTTTCAGGGCATTTTTCAATTTCATAAAATAATTAAAAATCGGCAAAGATGGCGGTGTCGAAAAGGTGTTGGCACACTCACTCATTTTAATTCTCTTTTTATTTTTTCTTATTTTTATCATAGTGTTTATTTTCTGTATTTGATTTTTAATTCAAATTTGGTAACGAATTTGGATGTAGAGCCCAGACAAATATTGTTTAGTTTAGTTTTCTCCATATGATATTTTGTTTTCGGAATTTTTTGAAAAGTTTTTTTTTGTTTTTTTTGTTTTTTTTTTTTTTTGTCTGCGTTTAGCTCGAACGACCGAACGCCTTCCGAAGGGTATTATGAATTGGAACTCACGATATGCAATCACACAATGAGTACATGCACACAAGCACACGATAACACACAGGTAGGAAAGAAAGAATCATCGCGCTTAACTCCACTGATCTATCCAACAAACCCAAGATCCCAACACGTATGCTACCCGTTTCGTGTCGAAGCATGAGTCAAGAGGACTCAAACTTTCACTTTTCCTACCTATATACCTTTGACTGAAATTGAATCGACGTTCCAGAGACATCCGGAGTTCCAAAAGGACGGTACAACTGGGCCTAATCCGAAGACTTTGTCCAGGTACCAAAGTTTCGACCGCTACCAACCTAGCTATTATACGAAAAAACTATCTGGCCCACATTCCAAACCAAAAACCGGTCCCGGGCCCGGGCCCTGGGACTACTGCCTCTACAAAAATCTAGAGAAAAAGCAACCACAAGATCTAGTTCGGTCTCGAAAGCCCAAATTCACCTTCTACAAGGTCATGTGTTCAAACTTCAAAACCTGCGAAGGTACTGTGTTCAGATTTCAAACAACGGAACGCCAAGGAAAAGGACTCTCCTTTTTTTACAAAAAACAGGTAACTGGTTCAATCCTCACCCGCAAAATACCCTGTCATCATATCCATTAAGCAGATATAATCAGGGCACAGGTTCCAGTCCATGGCTCACCCTTTCCATGTGAGAAGGCTTTGAGAACACGATCAAAGAACTTTCCCGGGAAATTCTTTAATTGGAGCTCTCTTTTCAGTGTCACCACTCGTCTTGGGATCTCAGCTCTAATCGTCGTATTCCTATCAATCCTGTGCAGATAAGTATTAATAACTGCACTTTTTTGGGCTCCACTTCCCCAAGACTCAAATATTTGTCCATTCAGAACATCCAGTTTCTCTGTGTTCCAGATTGTTGCCTCGTTTTTTGACATCTGAACACTCCCCACATGCGAAAAACATAATTTTACCCTGATTTCACATCCCAGAAAATTCCACTTGTTGTCTTTTGTATCGGTCCGTTTTAAAGTCAAATTCCTCGGGTAACATGATTCAAAAACTGCAAAGATTTGGCTGAAAACCTTGTGTGTCAATGCCTTCCCTGCCACAATCAATCCTACATCATCCATCAACCGTATTCCAAAGATATTCGGGCGAAACCTGCCCAAACTACTCAAGAAATCGAACTCACACTTAGCACACAGAATGCAGGCCAATGGGGGACTCGTACTCTTTCCCATTGGAATCCCTACCTCCTGTTTCACCAATACCGACAATACGGAGGTATAGGTGTGGTTCAGTTCGAACTTAACGAAATCTAAAATGTCCCCAAAATCCAGCTTCCTCCAACGATCAAATCCTGTTGTTTTTCCAAACGAAGCTCCTCTTCCCCGCGTATTAACACGCACAAAATTTCTTTTAATCCCCTGATGAATCTTCAACAACCACTCAACGGAGCTTACAATCTCCTCATGCGGAAGCAGGCTGAACATATCCTTAATATCATACGTTCGTGATTCAAGGATATCCGAGCCGGCTTTCATTATTCCCTGATTAAATCCCTCCTACTTTGCTGCCATGTCAGATACCGATTTCAAATTGAAATGGCAGTACGCGGGGATCGAAAACAACAGGTGATTCAGAGCCTTAGCCATGACCTTACTTGTCCTGGCTATTGGCTCCAAATACGACGGACAGATTGGTCGAAACCTCTCAGGGTCCTTATGTTTTGGCATTGCGTATGCATGCCCCAGTTTCCCAGATTTATCCCACTTCACAAAAGTCGTCAGACCCATATTCCCCGATTCCTCCTTCATTTCCCTCAACACACAGTTCTTAGTACTCTTGACAATGGTATATCCTGGGTTACGAATAAACAAATTCATCATACCTTTATTGTACACCCTGGGACACATTACATATGTAACTCCCGGATTACGATCCAAGGGGGTGAAAACCAGACCATTCAACTTCACCTTCCACTCCATGATCTCTTTGTAACTCAACACATTTATAGGAGTGTCCTCAATCTTCTGCATACAACGTTGCATTTCCTCGTTCGTGCAGGTTACTTGACACCCCTTGCCATTCGACCATGAGTCAAAGGCATCAGAGATTTCTTTAGATAATCTGCATGCCCGGTCTTGTCTCGGAGGTTTAGGAACATTGGCCGAATTGACCATGATTGAAGGCACCCCACTTACCTCATGTAGACGAAACTGCACGTGTCCTGCTACCCTTGGGTAAGGTAGGCCTGCACAAGCGCAGGCCAACACATCAGATTTGGCAAATTGCCTCTGATTATGCAATAAATCCGTAATATTCAGATTTTTTTATCCAAATAATTTGGATCTTAAACCCTGCTCGCTTCTTCACACAAGGAGGCAGTGGTAATTCCACCAACTTCTCATTGACCAATTTCCTAACTTCCGAAATACGAACCCGATCATCATAGAGCAATCTAACCACTAACTTAGCAGACAAGTTAAAACCAAAACAGTCCTTCGCACAACGTGAAATCAAACGTCGTAGGTAAGTACGAGTACTCTTTTGTCCGAACTCTTTAACTGATGTTAGCAAAGTCGACAAAGAGAGGAGATTCCATTTCTTCAAAGCATCATATCTCCGTAGATTCCGAAGCAAAGAGATAAGGAACGGTTTATTAACCCCCGATCGTGGGGTCCAACGTCGAAGGTACGTAAATTTACACACAGCTCCTCTTTCGAGTTCCTTCTTAAAATCCTTCAATCTACCATCGAAATCCCTGACACGTACAGATGAAAGGCCAAAAGCCTTCTTCAAGACTCTCCTTTTGTCACACCACAACTTTCCACCTTCAAAGGTCAAATCGAATTCTCGAATTCCCTTATCATTGAGCTCCTGCAGCTTGTCGAAAATCTGCACGGTCCAGTCCTCGTCACATTCTCTCCTCACCTTAATCGGTAATGTACAAACCTCCCCTTCGTATTGCTCCTTCTTAAACTTTGCACGCTCGCGCTTACCTTTACGATTCTTCTTCTTCTTAGTTCCTTTTGTCAAAACCCCGACCCTATTCAAAAAAGGACTCCAACGCTTGATGAAACAAGCTTCCACCACCAACAAGTCTGTTTGAGGAACCACATCAATATGAATCATAACGTATGATGCAATACCAAAGCTCATCCACCATCGATACAGATGTGTGAATTTTCTTTTTCGCTTCCAAACTGACGCATGTTCTTTCCATCTCACATCAGGACTTCTCATCGTTTGCCCCACATATTGAGATTTACATCTAGGTGATGTAATCACGTATACACAGTGCGGTTGTGAGACAAAGTCGACACCAAATCCTCCAAACAATCGAATCCAGGAATCTTTGCATTTCCGTAGCCATTTGTAGCATCCTACAACCCCAAGATACACTACTAACAATCGAAAAATGCATTCGACTTCCTGCTTTATACAGCCAAAGTTACGACGAACAACAATAATGGTCTCACAAATAGCCTGCCATTGTTGGATCGTCAAATCACATCACTCTTGTGATTTCGATTCCGAAGCTTCAAGACTTGACTCACATTGCTCCTCACCAATCTTCCCTCTGCGATCCCTCGTCTCATTGTTACCTGGTCCAAAACGGCTTGCCGCTCTCACGTCGGCCAGATTGAAGATAACTTGTATCTTCGTCGTGTAAGCCACACCTTCGTTTCGACACAGGACACAAATCCTGTCGCAATCCAGCGTAGCCAATTCTCGCCTTGTATTATCCAGGTATAACATACGCTCCATCTCCTGATCACGAATCAGTGGTTTGATAGCCGTCAGACACCTTGCTGGCATCGGTCTAGCTGTTCGCTTGCCCACACGCGTTCTTGTTCTTTGTAACCTCTTCGAAAGCCTCAACGGTCTCATTACTGTCTTTCTATTAGCTCGCTTTGTAGGCGTCGCAACAGGTGGCCTGTCTCCCACCGCCACATATTCATCCAGGTATAACATACGCTCCATCTCCTGATCACGAATCAGTGGTTTGTTAGCCGTCAGACACCTTGCTGGCATCGGTCTAGCTGTTCGCTTGCCCACACGAGTTTTTGTTCTTTGTAACCTCTTCGAAAGCCTCAACGGTCTCATTACTGTCTTTCTATTAGCTCACTTTGTAGGCGTTGCAACAGGTGGACTGTCTCCCACCGCCACATCTTCACCTCTTTTCCTCTTTTCAGCAATTGATAGCTTCCCCGTCTCATCCGTAATTACTTCCACACTTGGTTCGCCAACACCACCACCCGATGTTTCCGGAACTTCCTCCGCAACCTTCTCCTTGCCTTTGGCTATCGCTTTCCGGACTTCATTCTTGATATCATCGTGTATCTGGCTCAGTCTGATCGCCATCTGAACTTCCAATGCCTTGGTCATCGCGAGCTGTTCTTCTTCCCGTTTCTTAGTTCTCTCCAACTTCTTTGCTTGTCTTGCTTCAACTTCACGTCTGTGCTCCTCCTCCCTGCGCTTAGCTTCTTCAATTTCCCGCCGTGCATCCTCACGTTCTTGGCGCTTACATTCCTTCTTCATCTTTCGTGCTTTTTCCAGCTCCACGAATTCCCTCAGTGTGGTCACGGTATCACCAAGTTCAACAATCTTTGATATCGTCTTAGAGTCCAAGGAAGGCGATCTCCGGAACGGTGCACCTTGGCCTTTCGCAGGAGAGCCCGATCTTCCTCGTTTATCGAAGTCAGATGGATAAATATATCCATCACGTTCGGCCTTACTCCTTGAATCAGCGTTACTCCAGAATCTCCAACAATCGCTCCTGTAATGTCCAGGAACTTTGCAACCGTAACAAAATGGCGGTGGTCGCCGCTGATAAGCAGTGTCATCTCTAGTATCTGTCCTTTCTCGTTCCCTTGGTCGTCCCCGTTCAAAATCCTGATAACTTGATTTCCCGCGCTCGAAGGCATCACGATTACGCCGATCTCGTTCTTGTGATCCTTCCCGTCGGCCGCCGCGATCATCGACATCGCAAATCTTCTCGTCTGTTTGAAATACTGGAGGTCTTGATCTTACCGAGGCAAACTCGCACAGAGTCGTCCTAGTAGTAGTAGAAGTAACAGTAGCAATAGAAGTAACATCAGCGCGCTCACTCACACTTGGCACGTCTTCCAAGTAGGTTCACACGAGCTTCCGAAGGGGTCCCGTACGTTTGGGCGTTCGGGTTCGGGTGTTCGGCCCGTCCCGAACGCTGTCGGAGGGCGCGGTGTTCCGGCCTTCCTCTCCGTACCAAGTCTCTACCTGGTGTCGGCCTCTTACTCCAACGTTGCTGCTTGTAGGTAAGTCCTCGAGCCTCTACGACCCCTAGTACCCGGCCTGTGTCCGATGTGGGCCTAGTCCTGTTGATGCCTGCCTCAACAAAAAGAGGGGTGCGCCACATGACTTTCCTTTGGTCCACGCAGGCTCGGCACCCTGCTGTACAGCAGAGCACAACTGGCCTGTGGCCATGGTAGCCGTCGGGTTCGCCCTGGGACGTGAAAGTAGAAGGGTGGGTGCTGCTTTATCTACTGCGCGCCAAGTACCCCCTTTTCCAGGTTATGGGATAGGTACATGGAACAGGTCGCTGTCAGAGAAAAGAAGGCTAAACAAAAAGCAGGGAGGAAAATGAAAAATGAAGAAAAAAGAAAATGGAAAAGAAAAGCCAAAGGTGTAACCAACGCGGCTGGACTACTAGCCTTAGTTTGAGGGAAATCTAACGGCCTCTGGTCCCCAGCTATCACTGCGTTTCATTCTTTTGTTATTATTATCACTATTATTATTTATTGTTATCACCGTTTCCCTTTCAGCTTTCCTTGTTGGTCTGTCGCTTCGTGGGGAGGCCAACAGATTGGGTTCCGAGTTTGGGCGGTGGTCTATGTCATAGGCTGGCCCGACCCCTTGCATGTTATCTGTGTTGGACCTGCTCGTCTGAGCCCCGCGTGGTAGGACCCTTGTGGCCATGTAAAGGGGTAGATACAGTGAGGTTTGAAAAGGGAAAAGTATGAAAAGGAAAGAAGGAAGGAAAAGGTCGAAAGTCGAGCTTTAGATTTGTGCGTAAACGTGGGGCGCTGTTCAGGCGAGGCTGCTGCGCGGAGGCATTCTCAAACGCCACCCTTTCCCTCTCTGCGATTATTATTATTATTATTATTATTATCGTTATTATTGATATTATTATTTAGTTTTCTTTTCATGCGAGTGTCAAGCTCGGTTTTTCCTTCGATCTGTCGTACCGTGGGAGGCTGACGGTTCGCTTTTCATGAGTTACGAATATTGCCTGACGACCTAGGCTGGGGTGACCCCTCGTAAACCGCTTGTGCTGGGCTTGCCTGGTTGGACGTCACGCGGGAGGACTTCAAAAGAGGGGCGACCCACGGCCGCATAGGTAGGGGACTTATCACCCCGAATGGAGGGTCATAGGCCCCCTCCTTACCATCGGACACGGGCACCTGATAGGGGTAGGTCGGTGGTCTACTTTTGAAGTGAAAGGCGCGCCGTCGGTATTTTCATTATCGGGACCACTGTGTCCAGCCTGTGGTAATGAGATTTGACTGTTGGCGTCTCGCATTTCAATTTTCCCTCTTGTGTAGTTTGTTTTTTTAATTATTAGACATAGAAGTTATAGAAAATCAGAGTGCAGGAGTCTGAAAGGAAATACTTGAGGCTCTCGTTCAGAACACGGGGTCACGATATGGGGAGAGCCCATAAAAGAGAAAAGAGGCTGGCTATCCACTCTAGTCTCTGAGTGCTCGCGGAGTATTTCGCTGTGCTGGTCTGAGACAAGAAAAATGGTGGAGCTTCGGGGCCTGTAAGGGCTGTCTCTGTGTGGACGCCTGGAAACTAAATCCTTGGCTATTCCGAGTCTCTATGGCGTTGCACGGGTACAAGCCCGGTTACTGGTACCACCAGGCCCGATGGAAACCCATGACTGGGGAAGGGCCTTGAATCACAGTCATGCTCAATTACGATGGGGGTGATGAAGTGAGGATGAAGATTAACGTGGAAGGGGCTAAAGAGGTGGAGATGCGGACTGATGGAAAACTACAGGACGCGATCACAGAGGCGAAAGACCGTGCAAAGAGGCGTTGTAGGAGGGACGGAGTGACAACAAGACTGCAGGTAACGGTCTCGTATCATGGGACCGAGACCTCAATGGACACAACGGACCTGGAGCAAGCCCACCTGGACAGGGACTCAGGTGGTGAGAGCGAAATGAGCGAAGCTGGAAATCGGGAAACGGACCTCAGGTCCTGGAATAGACCAGGCGAGGTCCAGAGGTATCACCGGGCCGCGAAGCCGGTGGAAGAGGGACCCGAGGCCAGCTCTCGACAATTGACACCCAGAGGCCGTGAGGCTGGTGAAAAACAGAACAAGGGGAAGAGACATATGTGAGGGGGAAGAGAGTCAGACGACACGTGGCAATATGAGAGCAAGGGGAAGTCTGCTAGGATGAGTGGGACGCGAACGGGTGAGATGCAGTTGATGCCAACCACGGTCTCACGGTTCACTCGCAATCGTCTTGTGTCTGCTGAGTCATAGTGAGTCCTCATACTGAGACAGGAGATACGTGTGTAAGAAGGAAGGCACGCCAGGGTCAACGAAAAAGAAAAAGAGGGGAGAGCAAAACATGAGAGGGCGGTCTGTGAAGAGAGAGACTGTGTGAGCGGGACTGAATTCAAAACGGGGGGAAGCGTGTATACTCGCGCGACAGGTGGACGTTCGAGAGATAGGTGCAAAGAGAAGGTCAAAGAGAGTGCATGGTGGTTGACGTCAATGCCTACCTGCATGCTTATATGAAGCGCGTGTTATTGCTCCCGGTAGGGAAGTGCAGGGTGGTGCATGTGAGAGAGAGAGTTTGAATGAGGGAGGGAGTCAGTTCCGAGAAAAGCGACGACAGTAAAGGTTGCGTGCTTGCGGTACACGAAGAAAATCCGTGCTCCGACCTCGAGTAGTTGACGTCATCATTACCTGACTTGGAATATCGGGAACTTCGCCCTCTCAGAGACCCGAGCTGTCACCTCAAGATAGCTAAAGAGACGCCAGGGAAAACTCGTGGCGACTAGCGCGCCTTCCACGGGCAGTTCCCTCATGACGCCGCAGAAACGGGCTCCCTCATATTTCTGATCGGTGCATGCATGATCTGTTCGGTCAAGAACTAGCTGCTGAGAGAGTCTTATTTCCTTTGAAGACGTTTTCACTTACCGGCTGGCGCTCTCTCTCTGATGACTATCTGTCTCGCTACCCCGGGGGACTTTCGGCTTGTGACGGGTACTGCTATCAAAGTTATTGATGCGCCCCTTTGTAACTGCCCTGGCCGAACCCTCAGAAAAGGTGGTGGTCATTGCAAGATGATTCCTTCTGCTCTTTTTATCTTTGGTTTCTTCTTTTTCTTTTGATTGTTGTTGTTTCGATTAATTAGAACGATTGATCGTTGTTAATCGATCATGTTTCGTCTTGACGAGGGTTAAGCCGCAGTAGACTGTGTGAGTAGGTGAACATGGGAAAGCCCCTGACTCATAATAATGATTTGAAACGTGGTGGCTGCGAAGAGAATCCAACGTATAGGCTACTAGATTAAGAGGATTTGCAAGGTTAAAGCGTTAGGATAATTTTGGTGTTGACTTTTGTACATTGGACATATTCCCCTGCGGTGAGTGGTTTACTTGATCACTTGGCAAGGTCAAAGAGACATGCAGCTTTTGTATTCGCGTGCTTAAATTCCGCAAAAACGGAGATTACAACCAGAGTTGGGAATCAGACTTTTCTTTTCTTTTTCCATTCCGTGTGAGATTGCACGGTGTTAATTGCGCCACGTGATTACACTATGTGACTGCACTGTGTGTGATTGCATCGTGTGACTGCACCATGTGGTTGCATCGTGTGACTGCACTGCGTGACTACACTGTGTGGCTGCATCGCGTGATTGCATCGATTGACCGCATCGCGTGATTGCATCAATTGACCGCATCGCGTGATTGCACTATGTGACTGCACTGTGTGTGATTGCATCTTGTGACTGCATCGTGTGGTTGCATCTTGTGACTGCACCACGTGACTGCGTCATGTGACTGCGTCATGTGACTGCATGAATGTGTGGGAACGTAGGGCATAGACTTGCATGTGCTCACCCAATTGAATGGTTACCAACAATGGTACTGATTCGTCTGTGTCCTGAAACAAGTCGAGCGAGTGACTGTAAAAGCCTACAAATGCCTGTATGTGTGTATGTAAACGAATGCCTGATTGAATGTACTTGCTGGCCCGATGACTACAAGCGGGCATTTGATCGAATAGTAAAGGCATATTTCCAAGCTCGCTAGACGGGCTTATTCTGCCAATGGAAATGCGGGAGTGAATTTCAGGCCATGTTTTTAAGGTTTCACCTTCTCTGAATAAATGGGAAAAGGAAAGTCAGGGCTGAGAAAGATCTTCTATATCCTCGCCAAGTTTTTACTTGATGGTGATTGACTAACTTTTATCCTGTCGCTTTAGTATGTTGCAACTGACCAAGGGAGGAGGGGAATACCACAAAAACAGAGCCAGTAAGCTTTGCCCTCTTAAAGCGAATTGCCCAGAAAACGGTGAGCCAAAGTGTCTGTTTAATGCGTATCTGCCTCGTCAGATTTACAATA